AACATGGGAGTGCTAATGTCTCTTCAACATATTGATCTCATTTCCTTTGGATAAATACAGAGTAGTGAGTGGGATTGATGAATCATATGATAGTTCTATTTTTAACTTTTTGAGCAATGTCCATACTGATTTCACTAATAGCTGTGCTAATTTATATTCTCACCAACAGTGTACAAGTTTCCCTTTTCCACATTTCTTCCAACACTTTTTCTTTTTGAAAAGCTGTCATTCTTACTGGAGTGAGATGATATGTCATTGTGATTTCAATTTGCAATTTTCGGATTAGGGATGTTGATTATGTCTTCTTTTGAGAAATGTCTATTGCCCACTTTTTAATTGGGTTATTTGGCTCTTTACTATTAAGTTTTTTGAGTTTCTTATATATTCTGGACATTAACCCCTTGTCATATGTACAGTTTGGAAATATTTTCTACCATCCTACAGATTGTCTCTTCACTTTGCTGTGCAGAAGATTTTAGTTTGATGTAATCCCATTTATCTACATAAATATGCCATGTATATTTGTATATATATGTGTGTGTATATATATATATATTTTTTTTACTATTATTTTTTCTTTCATGTCTCTGCTTTTTGGGGTCTTCTCAAAAAAATCCTTGCCCATTCCAATGTCCCAAAGCATGTGCCCTGTTTTCTTCTTGTAGTTTCAGATTTTTGTTTTTTGTTTTTTTGTACAGGGAATTGAAGCCAGGGGCACTTTACCACTGAGCTGCATCCCAGTCCTTTTTATTTTTTTGAGACAGGGGCTCACTAAGTTGCATTGGGTCTTGATAAATTGCTGAGGTTAGACTGGAACTTATGATCCTCCTGTCTCAACCTCCTGAACTGCTGGGATTACAGGTATATGGCACCATACCCAGTTTACATATAAATTTTTAATCCATTTTGAGTTTTGTAACTGGTTAGGGGTCTTTTCATTCTTCTGCATGTGGATATCCAGTTTCCCCAGTATCATTGGTTGAAGTTTGTGTTCTTAGCACACTTATCAGAAATCAGTTGGTTGCAGGTATGTGGATTTACTTCTTGGCTCTCTATTCTTTTCAACAATTACTATTGTTGAATTATCCATTTCTCTCTTCAGTTTCTCAGGTTTTGTTTACATATCTTTGGGTTATTTTGTTAGGTACATCCACATTTATAATCATTCTGTCTTTTTGATGGATTTACCTTTTTAACTTTACAGATTTTTTTTTTTTTGTACTAGGGATTGAACTTAGGGGCACT